CCTGCTCACCCGGCATTCTTCCTCTGTGCGGATCCATGTCCAAATTTCCCCTTTTCAGAAGACCCATCCTACTCCAGTAGGCCCTCATCCTAACTAATGACATCTGCCACAACGCTAGCTGCAGGTGAGGTCACATTCTGCTGTATGTATGTGGTAAGGACTTCGATATACGCATTTTTGGAAGACAGTTCAACCCATAACAAATTCCTCAAACACAAGTTACAGCTGGTGATCCAGACCACCGCAACACCCTACCAGTCTTCTTTCAAATCGAAGTTGCAGATTCTCAGATCCAAGCAAACCCCAGGTGATCCACACAGGTGCTTGTAGAGAAAATACAAGAAATGTCGTGTGCATTGCTTCGGGAGAGTTGCCTGCCTGGCAGATGAGCAGTTTGAGAGAGCCACCGCCTCCTCTATAAACTGTGTCTGAGTCTTGGCAGGAAGGCAGGGCCCAGCTTTGCCCTGCATGCACCCTGCCCCAGGGCCCTATAAAGTCCCCGCAGCAAGGGCAGGACACAGATTCAGGTGAAGGGAGCTAAACACCCTGCTCTCTCGCTTGCCAAAACAAGCTATGTCATTTCCAGGAGTCTGTAAAGGGAATGAAAGACTTACCCACCCAAAGCACACAAAATACAGCCATATGACCCGCAAGTTTCTCCAAAGCACAAGTACCTCTGAATAGTGATTTCATTCCCGCAGTAACTATTCCAACCCCCGTAAGTCGTTTTACATGGTCACCACTAGGGGGCAGGCCACGAAAACGTTCCTGTCAAACCATTTGCTCTGCAAAAGTTAATACATGAAGATAAGCTCCAGATTGAAACGGCGGCCTTCTCCTGCCTACAGCGCAATTACACATTCAATGAAAAGCAACAACATGGGACGCACTTTCTTCTTTGCATGCTGCTTTCTTTTTGGAGTATATTTACACAGTGTGAAACCCATGCACCAACCTCTTCCTTTAGGTTTCCTCTGGTCGGGAGTTCCTAGAAGTAAAGGAGGAAATTGCACTGGCCAGCACAGGTCACAAGGATTTTGGTTTGGGTTCATGGATAGCAGGAGTGGACTAACTCGGGCATCCTGTCATGGGTGCCAAGCTTATAAGAGAACTACTCAGCATGAACAATCCAAAGGAAGCTGTATTTAATTCCCCAGATTAAAGAAGTCCTAAAAACGAGGACTTCTATAATTTTATAAACTCCACTGTTGTCACAAACTCCTCCAAAAAAAGAGAGAAGGCAAAGGTAAGACTAAAGATGGCTTTGGTCCTTGTTCAGAGTATGGCTTCTCTCCTCTGCCCCCTATGCCTGCCCAGACACATCTGCCTTATCTGTTGCATATAGAGATTTTATCATGTCACCAGAAGGCCAGGAATAGTACGTTTCCAGGCCAACAATGCATTTTCCTTCTCAAAGACTAGGCCTCTCACTGCTAAGAGGGCAGCACCCGGAAGCAGCCCCATGCCCTCCCTGGAGAGAGCCGGCCATGAACCCCCACCGGCCAGGGTTTATGGAGAGGTTTCCGGTTCTTCCTTGGAGGTCTAAACAGGATTTCCCTAGAGAAAGAGGGCTTCACCGAATAAATGACAGACAGAGCTGCGGAGGGCCAGCCAGGTCACTGGGCTCTGGCTCCTCATTGTTCAGCCCACCGGCTTCCCAGGGCTCCTGTCCAAGCAAGCTTTCCGGAAAGCGACAGACATGGACTCCACAGAAGTGCCATGCACGCACACACGCGCACACGCGCACACCGGCGCGAATGAGAAAACCTTCTGCACCATAAGAAAAGGCCAACAGACACTGTTCAGAATCCCCTTGAGAGGAGGAGGACTGTAGCAGGAAGGAGGAAAAAAGTAAAGGGACTTCTAAGTGCTTCACGATGCAAAATTCTTCTTTAATTCCCGTGTTCATTTTTAAAAACCGTTATTAGGTATTTTTAAATCATGGAGGCAATGATGTTTGTTGTAACCAAACAATAGAGATAAAGAGAAACTTAATAACCATCCTCCAAAGTCTACTTTCTAAACAGGGAAGAAACTTCCTGTAAGTTTTGAGTTTTGTCAACAAAGCATCCTTCTACTTCTGAGCTGGAATTTTTCTTTGTTGGCTTGGTTTGCTGTGAGCAAGGAGGGCCAATTTCCTCACATAGGTAGATAATCTCTATAGCACAGCTAAGAAACCTCACCAGGTATTGTTTATCTCCAATTGCCGCTGACCAATTTCTTTAAAGTCAAAATAACATTTTGGTCTCAAATATCCAGGGAAATGAGGTAAAATGTTTCTCAAACAAGTGTTGGGACATACTTGGGTCTGAGAATACTGTATGAATCTTAAAATTTTGTTTTCATTTGATCCTTGAAAAAAGTCTTTAATAGTTTTATAAAGTCTTTCTCCAGTGGTAATTCAAAAGGAAAGGACATTTATGTTGGCTCTTCTCAAATGGGTTTTTAAGATTCTTGTTCTCAGGGACTACTAGAAATTATTAGAAAAAATGTTGTGAATATTATTACCAAAATAATGGGTCCTGAATCTCATTGTGTATTAAATTTTTTAATGGGAACTTCTTAAAAACATAGGCTCTGGCTCCCCCACTCCAAAACCTCGATGGGCAAGGTTGGATCACCCGTATCCTACATGGTCCCCAGGTGATCGCGACCATCAGACAGTGACCTCAGGGACAGAGATTTCTGATATACCCAGCTCTCTATCTGCATCCAGCAGCACAAAGGGACCCTTCCCTCCCAAACCCCCAAAGGTTCCTTTCCCCTTAGAGAACTGATCAGAGCGATGCTTCTCAAACTGTGCCTCCAAGACACATAGCAACAGCATCACCTGGGAACTTGTCCAGAAAGGCACATTCTCACGCCCCACCCCAGACCAAGTCAGAAATTCTGGGGATGGGGCAAACACAGTAATCGGTTTCAACAAGCCCTCCATTTGATTCCGATGCATGCTAAAGTCTGAGAACCACTGGATTAGAGAATTTTTGCGATTCCAAGACAGGTAATGAAGAAAGACATAACTCCATGTAAGGTAGAACCAGTTTATTAATGACAGCCTTAATTACAACCACTCTCAAGTGTAAAAAATAAAGGGTGATTAATTAAAATTTAGAACTCACTTGGACTTGCTGTTTGGCCTTTCACTGGATGTGCCAAAGGGAGGGAATCTTGCCTGATTCTGAATCAACTGGTCAGATGGAGTTCACTGGAGAATGAGGTAATAAAAAAGGAGACAAGAGTGCCAACTGCATAGCTCAAGTCTTCTCCATGTTGGAATGACATTCCAGAGATGACATAAAATCATCCTACAGCCGGAATATGGAACGAACATCTCTAACCATACAGAGACACAAAAACACACATGCAGTCATACATACACCCGCACTCTGCAGATAACTTTCAAAGAATCTTTGTCCTTCTCTGAGCAGATTGACACGTTCATCAGCCGCAGTGATGCAACATGGGGCTAAAATAGAAAACCTTGCTAAGTCTCCACAAAGCATGCTCACTGGCCGCCCAGTTTTGTGTTGGCAAGTGGGTCATCACCACAAAATACACCTGTGATTTTCCCAGCATTCCACAGGCTAATATCTGCTCCCCAGGAGAGGGACATCCTGGTAGAAACCAGCTGGATTCAAATCTGGGGGCAAAATTCATCCCTCCCTATGTTAGTGGGGACAGGCGTGAGTGGCAGCACCTGGAAGTGGTGCCCCCACCATGGGTCGCAGAACACTTGCCCCATCGATGCGCTTCCTTCCAAAGTATTTGTGCTTTGTTACCATCCTGCTGGTTAGTCTGCACTATGAGAACAGAAGGAGCTCTGGCCATGCACTTTTGTTTTTTTGTTTTTGTTTTTTTTAAATAAAAGCAAACTAAAACCAGAATGAGAAAAAAAAAAAAAAAAAACCAAACCCAGAAGTTTTCTGATTGTGTCAACACTGTTTCAGAATTAGATTCAATTCCATTCCAAGAGAAGGGGGCGGAGGGTGCTGCAGACCAGGCCCCGAAGACTGACAGGGTAAAGGCATTGTTGAGTCCATGAAAGCATTTGCAACGGCTCGGCGGGCCAGTCCCTTCCCAGCCAGGGAGGACACGCCACACCTCTCATGGCAGTGAACCCAAGAAATAAATGCAGACCAAGTAACATTTGTAAATGCTTGTAGGAAAGCTGGCAGGAAAAGGAGCTGGTAGAGTCGGATTCACAGATCATGCAGGGAGAGTATACCAAAAAAATTAATATTCAAGTGGAGTAAAAAAAACACTTTAAGAGAAACTGTATCCTAGCTCTCACTTTTGGGAGACCAAAACAAAAACACACAAAAAAGCGGAACAATACCCAGAATATTCCAGTTTCCAAAGAATCCAACAACTAATTTGATGGGCTGAGGTGAGGGGTATTAATTAATACCTCTTCATTAACCTCATGTTCTCCTTGAATTTCATTGATACATACAGCTCAGGCCTACTTAGAACAACAATCTGTCCTGCTAAAATTCAGCATTGTGAAGTGTTCCAATGCCCTTACTCCAGGCACATGGAATACACAATTCCTCTTGAAAAAGACACTCCAGGAGAGACCAGGCGTGCCCACCCACATGACTTGTTGAATGCAATCACAACATCTGAACCCAAAGACAAGCTGTTTTCTTCTTGGGGTGATAGTTGTAACAGGTCCCTGAAATGCACAGTGAAGGGATGCCAAAACAGAAACAAAAACAAAAAAACACGAAAACCACAGCCCTCCCAGGTAACGGGTTGAGTTTTAGAAAAGATGCACTTCTTTAGGCCACGGACCAGAAAGTCCCTTCAAGGTGTGACGAAGAGCAAAAACCGCCTCTCCCAGCCCTCCGATCACGGAAGGAGAGAACAAGACTGTGTTCCACAGATTCAAGTACATCTGGGTCCCTCACCCTCCCTTTTTTTCTTTTTTGGTAAGTATCCAACCAACCATAAATTCATGGCTACAGTAGAGATTCACGGCGCAACGACTTTCATACTGGTTATCTTTTTAATTCTGTCAGTGAGCAGCATTTCCCAGTTGTACCCGCCCCAAACCAAGTTCTCGGCAGTTCCATCACGTGGGATTGCAGCGTGGATTCAGTTGGGCACGCTGGAGGGTCAGGAAGGCTGGGTCTGTCCAGTGTCTTATAGCAGTGATGTGGGGCTCTACCAGCTAGCCCTGACAGCTTCAATATCACTAACCAAATTCTGAGCCAGGCAGATCCCAAAAATCTGAGAAAGGAAGGAAAAGAGAGTCAGTGAAACTCAACTTCAGTAGGCTACTTCCTGGCCGGTGAATCCCCTTTTCCTTATCTCTGATTTTTTAAATTGACAAACAATTCATATACTATAAAATACGTCCTTTTCAAGTCTATACTTTAGTGATTTTTAGTATGCGTGCAAGGATGTGCAACTATCAACACTATCTAATTCCAGAACATTTCATAATGCTGAAAAGAAACTCTGTACCCATTAGCAGGCATTCCCGTTCCCCCATCCTTGGCAACCACTAATCTACTTTCAATCTCTAGGATTTGCCTATTTTGGACATTTCATATAAGTAGAGTCATATAGTATGTGGTCTCTTGGGGTCACACAGCAAAATGTTTTCAAGTTTCATCCATACAGTAGCATGTACCAATAGTTCAATCCTTTCGGTGGCTTGAATAATATTCCACTAGATGGATAAACCCCACATTTTGTTTATCCTTCATCAGCTGATGGACATTTACACTATTTCCACTTTTTGGCTATTATGAATAGTGCTGCTGTGAATGTCCGTGTACAACTTTTTGGTGAACAGATTTGCAATTCTTTTGGGAGTGGAACTGCTGGGTCTCATGTGAACTCCATTTAAGTCTGAGGAAGCGCCAAATTCTTTTCCACAGTGACTATGGTTTTCACTCCCTTTAGCAATGTATGAGAGTTCCCATTTCTCCACAGTCTTGCCAACATTTGTTATTGTCTTCCTTTTTAATTACATCCATCCTAGTATGTGTGAAGTGTGGTTTTGCTTTGAATTGCTCTAACATCTAATGATGAGCATCTTTTCATGAGCTTATTGGCTATTTGTACTTTCTTTGAAGATACATCTGATTCAAATTCTTTGGCCATCTTTAAATTGAGTTTGTCTTTTTATTGTTGAGTCGTTCTTTATATACTCTAGACACCAAACCCCCTATCAGACATAATGATTTGCAAATATTTTCTCTCATTTTGTGGACTTTTTCTTAATAGTATCCTTTTCAGCACAGAAGTTTCAATTTTGATGAAATCCAACTTACCTACTCCCTTTGGTTGCTTGTGTTCTTGGTATCATATGTAAGAAAATGCTGCCTAATCCAAGGCCACAAAGATTTACATGTACACAGTCTGAAGAGTTTTTTATAGCTTTAGCTCTTAAGTTTAGGTCTTTGATCTATTTGGAGTTAATTTTTTATATATGGTGTGAGGTAGGGGTCCAAATTCGTTCTTTTGCCTACAGATATCCAGTTGGTCCAGCGCCATTTGTTGAAAAGACTATTCTTTCCCTATTGACTGGTCTTAGTTCCCTTGTCAAAAATCAACTGACCTTAGGGGTAGGCCTTATTTCTGACTCTCAGTTCTATTCCACTGATCTATATGCTCAACCTTATGTACTACCTTGATCACTGCAGCTTTGTAGTAAGTCTGTAACTGGAAAGTGTGAGTTCTCCAACTTTGCTCTTTTTCAAATTTGTTTTGCTATTCTGGGTCCGCTGCATTTCCACATGAATTTTAGGATGGGCCTTGTCCATTTTTGCAAAAAAAAAAAAAGGCAGTTGTAATTTTGATAGGGATTGCATTGAACCTATAGATCAATTTGAGGAGTACTGCCACCTTAACAATATTAAGTCTTCCGATCTATGAATATGGAATGGCTTTCCATTTCTTTAGGTCTTCTTTAATTTCTTTCAACCACTGTGCCCCATTCATGACTTTCTAAGAAAAGTATTATATATCCCCAAGATAAAAAGCCCAGCTCTTGGGGCTGCTTAGGAGGAAAAGTGGGTGCTTCCTTCCCTCACACTTTGACAAGGTGGTCCAGAGAGAGAAAGGGACACAGGATGACTGTCTAAAAAAGTCTTAATCTTGCCACTGGGATCTCCTTCTGACCATCCCTGCCTCCCCCAACTGTCACAAGGCAGTGATTACTTGGCCCATGGGAACACTGGAATGCCAGTAGCCAATTGCCGACCCAATCAATTTCTCCATTATGAAAAGGAAAAAAAAGATTTCCTAAAGTATTTCAGGATAGTAGCATCTAAAATCAGGGCTTTAAATAAAATACAAACCAAATAGCTTAGGTTTGTTCCCCAGCCCTTTGATGTGTCTTAAAAACTGTGACATTAAGGTGATTCAGCAGAGCTCCTGTCATGGGGAGGGCTCTCCCAGGGCATCATTTCCCTGTGACATCCATCAAGGAGGCTTGTCTTACCTGTAGCAATGCAATGCCTATGAAAATACCAGCCACGATGGTTAAATTGTCCTGCAACCACTTCTCAAACTGGGGCACACAGCCTTTCGTGTAGATTACAATCTGCTGGTCAACTTCCTTCACAAGGGAAGAGGAGAGCACAGCGTCACCATGCAAGTTCAAAAGCTCCTGCAACACCCTTTGTGCTAAGTGACAAGATGAGACTCCACTTACTGGTTTTTGCCTGGCATCATAGCCACACTGAGTGTTGATGACATCTTCCTGGTAGAGAAAGGAAACGGAAAGGTGAAAATCACTCAACAGACAGGAAACCCGCCTAAGACTTAGCAGAAGAGTCCGGTTAAGTGTCGTTAATCGAAGGCGTACTTGGGCATGCAGATGTCCTAGGTACCAGGTTAAATAAACACTCTGATACATTATCCAAAGTAATTATTATAACAATCCTCAGAAGTAGGTATTAAAATATGCCCTCTTTTCCAGAAGAAGAAAACTGAGGCTCAGAATATATAAGGATAGCAAGTGTGTTACTGACCACCTCAGGAAGCTTACAGGGGTTAGAAAACGGAGACACAGTTAAAACCACGGGGAAAGAGGACAATGACTATCTTCATTTATGCTCTTTTGGAGGAACTTCTACTTTTTAATCTATATACTTCTGTATCATTTAAATGGTTTTTCAACGAGAATGCACTGCTTTAATAATTAAAAAAACAAAACAATGCCCCAACAACATATCACATGGACAGATACCCTGACGTCTCACAGGCCCTATCAAGAAACATGGGTTCTCCTGCTTTAGGTTTGTTTATTTTCCCCCTGTGCAGGGTATGGGGTGGATTTTATTAGCTTGGCTTTTGTGGAATGAGAAATCTATACCCAGAGTATCTGTAGTTGAAAGGGGAGGCATAATGCCTTCTGACACTCTCCATAATTCTTCTGATGGAATGTTAACACTGGGCAGGAGCGGGAGACAGAACAGTTTGTACCTGCTGGCCAGGGCAAGGCCACCTGAGTAGACACCCAGGTCTCTGTGCTGGGCACTCTCCTGCCTGTCAGCCCTCCTCAGAGGAAAGCAAGACATGAGCCAGTGGGAGAGGTGGGCTTCCGGCAACGTCTCAGAGCAGAGGCACCCAGTCCTTTCTGATTCTCAGTCGTCTGAAAGAGCCCAGAGACCCCTCTGAAGCCCTCAGGGAACCACCTGCTCCACACCGAGACCATGGCCCCTTTTAAAGAGCCCCACGTGCTCCACCTTGCATGGGGAAACGGCCACTGAACTCATTAGCACCCACTGGGCTCCGCTTGATTTCAAGAAGGGTGGTCTGGGGTAGGCTGCATGGACCGATGGCCTGGGAGACCGAAGAATGTGGAATAGACACGTGCAGAAGCAGTCTCCCACTTGTTCTAATGCTCACTCCCGGCTTTTAACTTATAACAAGGCACTTAGCATTTTAGGTCACCCTACATACCAGTCACATGATGTGACCCAAAACACAACCAAACCCACGGTGAAAGGGTTATGAGCATGTTTAACGCCTTTTCTTTTCTTAAATAAAACGCAAACAGCGCTTATCATCATTACAACCGAGAGCCCAGGCAGCTGCGGGCTTCCTCCCTAGTAGACTGGCCCTATCTTGCCTCAGACTCTTGTCCTACCCCTAAGATTCCCCCCCAGAACCAAGTCAGGAAGCACAGGGTCACTGACCCCCCCAGGCAATGCAGAGCACTCTCGCCGAAGCCCGTCCCTCTTCTAAGGAAGGAGTAACAGGCACTCCAGGCAGGCTTCCTGGGTCTAAAGCTCAGCTCCACCACTTGCTAGCAATGTGAGCTTGGGAAAGGTACTTAACCTCCATGGGCCTGTGTTTCACCCAAAGAGGGAAGATGGTGGTGATACTGCCAGTAGGAATGTTCTGAATTTTATTGAGCCAACTCACAAGAAGGCTGAGAATAAGAACCAGCGTGCTGCTAAATTCATGTCAGCGATGATTACGCCTACTGGGAAGATCTGAGCACTCTGTCCTCTTTAGGAGCTACAGTGAGGAATACGCAGGTAAGAGGTTTCACGGAAAAAAAAAAAAAAATCACTCTGCTCATCGCCCCCCGCCCCCCCCGCCCCCGCCTGCAGTCTGCGGGCATTCACTTACTGCAGGATCTTTAGTGCAGCAGGAGAATGGCACGCCGCACCGCTCTCGACTTGCGTTGGAATCTGTGCAATTGAAGTAAATATTTAGGTTCCAATCATCAGCTCCAAAAGCCCCACAGCACTGCCACTGGAGCAAACAGGAGAGAATTAGAACATCTCGGCCTGGAGGCGACCAGGCGCCTACACTCACGACCGCCAAACGACCGCCACCCAGCTTCGGCCAGCTCTAAGCCTCTCTCCTGTCTCAGAATTTGTATCAAACCAAGCTAAACCTAAAGGGGCCCTATAGAAGCTTCCAAGGTGACTAAGGCTCAAGATTTGTAAGGATGTGCTAACATCTGATTTAAGTGACTGATGAGACCCACAGTGTTAAGTGTTGGAAGAGCAGAAAGGGCAGGAGTCGTACAGCAAAGCAAGGTCTGCTTGGCGTGGGTGCGTGGAGGAACATTCTAGAAGGGTAAACAAGACACTAAACCATGGTAGTGTCTGAAGGAGGCAACTGGGGGTTGTGGGTGGGAGAGCTAGAGGCTTACTTTTTTAAAAATTGTGGTCTCTGCAGCCTTAATGGTTATGTAAAAATCCATTTTATCGAGGCATAATCGACATACAATAAACTGCACATATTTAAAGGGTACAATCTTATAAGATTTGACATATGTATACATTGTGAAATCATCATCACAACCAAGATAGTGAACATACTCACTACCTGCCAAAGTTTTAAAGGCTTACTTTTTTTTGTATATCTGTTACTACTCTGAACTTTTAAGAAAATGCATTTACATTTTCAACTTTAAAAAAATTCCATCATCTAATTAAAATATATATAAAATCAGCTGTTGAAGTCAGTGAGTCTCAAAAGGGCCTGGTTCAAGGACTGGCTGCTCCAGAGGCCCCTTCGTCACTCCCCTACCAGCTCTACTCTCTGAGTTAAGTAAACATCAAGCCCTGACCACGTTCAGGCTTTCAGGACCAAGAGCTACTTCACAACATTACACTCCATGACAGAAAAACAAAATCACATGAAATAACAGTATTTCCATATAAAGCAGACAGCATTTCAAGAGAACGTGTATACGCATGTTCTTCCAACTCATCTGGTCCTCCAAGGGCTTGGCTTGTGCATCTCGAGGTCTGCCTACAAAGCTTCATCAGATCTGCCACGCAAACTAGTCAGCAAGAATACCTGGCAAGGTGTGAGCCTGCATCCATTATGACCTAACAAGACAGTGAGGTCTGCTGAGGAGATGGAGCAGGGCTTAATTTCACACCTGAGGTGCAGCTCACTCTGGGCCAGTCACGGATGCTACTGAACCAAAGCAACTCAACTCCGCTCACTTCTGAGTACCTAACAAAGGAGCATGGTCTCCCATAGGGCAAGTGCCGATGCAGCCGTCTCCTCCTTTATCAAAGCGGACCCCCAGCTCCCTCTGCAAAGCCGTCCAACCAAGAGACAGCCATTGGTCCACTGGGCTTCTGTTTGCCCTCCAGTCCTGCCACAGACATTTAGGTCACAGACACTGCTGTCCAATCTCTGAGGGCATGCAAATAAAGACCTTAACACCCAAGGACAGTAACACCTTCAGCCTCATATAAAACCACGTACATCTTATTAGAGTGTCCTAATATTCGCATGAGTTCAACAGTAGCTGCTATTATTTCTACTTTACTATTTGGGAAAACAGGTCAAGGTTCTGTTAGCCCACGGTCACTTAGCTAATTAGAGTCTGGCACTAGATCTGTATTTCTGACCCCGTTTATACCATTTTCCATTTTGAGTCAAACGGGGCATCTGCGACTTCATTTGCATGACAGGGGACATCACCTAGTAATGTTCAGAAACCTGGGGGCGCGGGGGAGGTGGCTCTGCCGAGCAGATTCTTCACGTGTTAGAAGCCACACCGGGGCTTAGAAGTTGCTCAACTTTTGGTCGCGTGGAACTGCGTGTGCTCTAATATTTGGATAGGTATGTTTTAGGAACTTTGTGGACAAATATTCTATTGCTAAGTGTATTATTAGGAGCCGTGAAGGGTGGAGGATGGCCAAAAAGGGGGCAAGGAGCAAGAAAGAATCCACATTGGACACTACATAACACATTACACCTACAGCAAAACAAAATTCTGCAGATGTCAATTGGAAACAGCATGTGTGCTTATAATCTTGCTGCTCAAGAGGTTTTCTTTATCCCTCAGACTTAGTAGAAATTGAGATGAGTGAAAATAGGACATTTCCTATGGAAGTCATAAAGCAGGTTAGAAAATAATGAATACACAACTAAACCAACCAAAAAAAGCCATGTGGCAAAGTCAGAGGGAGGTTCCAGCTGGTGCAGACAGAAGCCAGGAGTAACGTTCATTCCTCGAGAAGGCTTTCAACTTAAAAATAAACCAAATTTAAACTTACATATTCCTGCGTGAAGTCTATGAGGTTCTGCAAATCAATGTCATCTCTGTACGCTCTGATGTTGTTGTTTATAAAGAAATACAGCTGGTCTTTGATCCAGTCTTTGAAAACAAATGCCAGAACCCCAGCAGTGAGCTCCAGGAAGAAAATAATGCCCAGGAACACAGAAAACTAAGACAAAAGACACAAAGAGAACAGTTAAAGGGGCTATTTTGATCATATATAGTTATAAATGGTCCCTTCTAAAAAGGCTTGTAATTACATTGGGTTGTTACACATGTCCAAAGCAGATAATCTTCAGTTTCTTAAGATTCATTAACAGAATATTACACTCCAAGAAAGGATTTTTAAAAATGGTTCATAATCACATTTTAAGGCTCTGGTTGTCCATTTGGTAATTAAACAACAAAGCCTATAAGCAAACATGGATAAAAGGAATTTCTCATTAGACCCACATTAAGGCCTAATGACTGTCTCCAGATTCATGCACCGCCAGACTCTTGAACAATGACCCGCCCCTACCTCTAGTAAGCTCTTGTAATGTTGAAAGATAAGCTAACCCAGTACTTTAAGATCGACTGTCATTTGTTACTATGGCCTTGATTCTGTATGCAATACATTCCTTTTTTTTTTTGGATTTAGACACTGCTTTAAATCCCCTTTGCAACTACTTTATGGGGTAAAATGGCAGATGTGTTCATCTTAGACAAAGCGGTCAAAGAGGAAGTTTGTGTGTGTTGGGGGCGGGGGTGACTAGGACATGAAAATCATTTCCCATCATGAAAACTGGGTTGAAAGTTTTGTTAGGAACACTAGCTGTGCTCACCCTTCTTTGTAAATACCAGTCTCGGAAGATTTTAAATAACATCAACCCGCAGCCAAAGGCAGACTTCTGGCTGACATGGACAAGAATTTACACAGGAAGGCTGGGGGCCACAGGTAACGTGGTGACTGCCCATAAATCTGGAGAAATCTCCCTTTCATCTTGAAGACTCAGAAGAGCCTCATCTCAGTCATACCAACGTACTGCTCACGCCCACGGTTCCTTCCACTTCCTCTCACCCCCACACTCTTACGCCTTCCCAACTTTTTTGCTGAGACAGATTATGAGAAATGAGGCTGTGAAGGACCAGGCCAGCTTCTGGTGACAGGACAGAAAGGGAGACGCTGGGGCCACAGGTGCGCAGCAGAGCCCATGGAGGCTATAGGACTCGAGTGGCTGAGGAGGCAGAGGGGGCTGAAGCTGTCTCTCTGCTCAGCAAGCAGACATCCAGCAGCCAAGCGAGAGAAAAATGTGCTGGAGGAGTGGTGCAAAGGAGACTGCAGAGTTACTTATTAAAACAAGAAGATGTTAATTCCTCCAGCAAACATCTGAAGGACCCATAACAGATCAGGTTCTGGATTTGGTGGGCTTGGCAGAAGCAAGGATGGGTAAAATATAATCCTGCCTCCAAAGACCCCATGGTCTTATGTGCTGTGGGGGTGGGGCTTGGGGGAGGGCAGTGGGGTGGAGCCATTTCACATCAGATCTCCATATATCTGCCAGTGTTTATCCAGCGCACTAAGTGCCATTTGGGGAGGGTGGGCATGAGGGGAGGGGTGGAAGAAAGAAATAAGTGCCTGGCAAAGTCTAGGACTCCAAGGTTTGAGCTCTAATTCTAGACCCTCTAGAGCTCAGCCCTTCAGGTTCCAGAGACCTCCTCCTGGTTATCTCTCCTTGGTGAATTCAGTAGAAAGAGGATTTAAACTATCATCAGCGGTACCAATAATTTCAAAGTAAGATTTCCTCAATCTAGAAAAAAGGACAGGGGAAAAAAAGATCACTTTTACTCAATGCCTACCCCCCAGTATAAAACAACTCCCCTCCCTTTATTAGGTACAGAAATACAAAAGTTATCATGCTATACAAATGAGAAAAATCATAGCTAGCTCACATGCATGTGCACCCAAAATACCACCACAGAAGTCATGCGAGATTTCAATTCGATTTTTTTTCTCGCCACCATAAAGGTTAGGCAAGTTCATTTTCCAGTTACCCTGGTAAAGTTTCTCTTAATGCTATATAATATACAGATCAAAAATTGAGTTCAAATTAAATTCTTATCGAATATTTGGCAGAAACCTGTATGCCCTGGGTGACCTCATTTCCCCCATTTCCAAAGGTGCAAAAACTGATTTCGCAGGCTTCGTCTTAGGGCCTCAGTCGACCAGGAAGCTCCATTTCCATTTCACATTATCTTAGCTCTCAGATTTTCCCTCAGCAAATCTCCTAGGCTTGCAGCATGAGATCTCTGGGGCTGTTAAAGCATGTTGACATTCACTTCCTACTTATTTCATAGCTCCTGCTCAAAGAATATTCTGGGCCAGTTTCATCGTTTGTACTAAATAGAGAAGCCATTTTAAATATCCGTGATTTTCAAAAGCTGAGAAACAATACAATTTTCTTCATTTCCAACACAGAACTTTATAAATTAAGGTGCTGATTTAGAGACATGGATCTATTTCTGCCTGTACGACAAATACAATAAATTATATTAAAGGGACTACTCTTATAAACTGAACTATATTCAAGTAAATCACATTAAAGGGGATCCCATATTTGGGGGCATGGAGGCTGAAACTGATAAAATAGTGGCAAACGGTTAAGTATTATCTGGGGCCCGATGAGGCTATAGAAAAGCTGAGTGAGGGGAGCCCATACATTTAGAAGGATCTCGTGCCAAGAAGACTGGCAGGTTGGCAGGTGAGGATCAGGGGCAAAGCTCTCCTGGGGACTCCACAGGTCTTTGATTAGGTGGGCAATGAAGTAACTGTGTGTGTGTGTTTAAAAGGGGGAATTGGGAGATAAGGCATAAGGCCAATGGAGTATTGGGAAACCAGCTGCTCCCACCACAGACCAATGTATAACACAGAACAGAGAGCCAACTGCTCATTCAATTGTATGGAGGACCAAGTATCCCTCAGTCTCCCTGACCACAGAGTCATGTAAACCTGCAGGTTAAACATATGACTTTTCAGGTTAGATTCGCCAAAACCTCATCTGCACCACAGCTGCCCAAATTCGAAGAAACGGGCTACCCTGGGGGCGGTATGGTGAGTCCACACTCTTTAGGGATATTCAAGAAAAATGCCAGAGGATGACGTGGCAGAAATGCTGGGGAAGAGAAGCATGCCCCACCCGGCTTTGGAGACTGGTGACATGCTCTGGTTTTAAATGAAGATGTCCCTAGATGATGTTGAGCAGGATTCTAGGAACAGGTGGTATGACACTAATTCGTCATCTAGAAATCCCACCATCTTTCCTCACCACAGGAAGGTGGTTTTTTTGTGTTTTTTGGTTTTTTTTATCCCTTCCCTGTTTTTGGAAAGGAAAGTGGACGGGGCTGTACAGAGAACATGGACACGGATGCCCACCACAATGCCAAGCCCCAGACAGACCGGCATATTCAGCTAACCTTTGGCTATACTTCCCAAACCTATTTTGGATACGCACATGGAAACACAGGCCATTCCATTCTCCTTTGGAAGGAATCTCCAAAGGAAAGGCTTTCACTTCTCATTCTCTCCTTTTATTACTTATCTGCCCCTGGTAAAACTCCTCCTCCAAAAATATTCATGCTAACAGTGATCACACCCAACTCCCTGCAAGGCGTCTAAAAATTATGTTGATCATACAAAAGGAAAACTCTGGACTGGCAGAGAAGGAAGATGTGCCCCTTACTGTTTCTCCATGTTCACCGAAACCTATTACTTAACAGATTTCATCTGAACAGGCCACAGCCACTGGGCTGATGTCTGGTTTTTCTAAACCAACTGTATGAACAGCTCCCTACTGACTATGTGCTTAAAAGAGGCGGAAAAAACCACCTGAAAGAAGAAAACTATACATATACCTACTTTAGTCTAAAGGGATTTGAGGGACTGGAATGCAAAGTCCTGATATATCCGTACAAAATCTCCATGGATGGCATGGGTTGGGCACGGTACTTACATTATTAAGGAAGCATGGAGGGGCAGGTGGGCGGTGATCTAGAGAGTTCTCCTGAAAGGAAAGCATTAGCCGGGCCACATTTTCACTGCACCTTTGGCAGAACCACCTCGCCTACAGATAGGGTGTCCTCCCGCGGGAGGACGACAGCTTGTCCCTCGGCCTGCGGGCAGAAGGGGATACTCACGAACTTGAGAAGGAATGTGTTTTCCCGTAGTGCTCCAATGCACCCTGCGAATCCCAAAATGAACATCACTCCTCCCACCACGAGGAAGAGCCAAACTGGGTCAAAGCCGCCGAGATCGGTGATGGAAGAGATGTTGGACAGAACTCCCTGGGGACAGAGAAGCAAACACAACGGGGCACCAGGATGCAGGGGCAGTTTTTCAACATGGAAAGATTTTTACAATTGTCTTTTCCCCCTCGCAAAGAAAAACTTCAGAGGTAATCGGATTATTAGGTGTGACTGATACTCAAGAAACACTGCAAATCAATCAGTCAATAAATCAATTAATTTTAAAAACACCCAGAAAAACCTACTTTCTTTGCAAGGACTAGATGGGTTTGTATTTTTGGCAAAACTGAATAAAGCAAAGAAATGACCCCAAGAAACTATCATCAGACCCCGTATGGAGATGTGGATGTTACTTTTGTTTTCTATGTCCCAAATATAAGTGGTTATGGGCAAAAAACAGTGTGCAAGAAAAACACACTTCCCAACACCTAGGAAGAGCAGTCACCTTTCAGTGCCCAGGGCATGCAGGTCTCAGACAAGTGCCTGCTACAAGCCTGTGGCATTTCTTAGGGAACAAGGGCAGAGCTCGATGCTGCAGGCTGACACAGTGGCCAGTCCCAGTCACAAGCCCCGGAAAGTTTTCCAGGGAAAAACCATGCCTCAGGATCCACCCTTGAGCTTCACAGGAGACCCTATCAGGCTCAGATCCCCAAAGCCCACTTGGGTGGTTTGGCTGATGGCGGTCTCACATTGACTTCTTAGGGGTATTTCCTTACCATGTTTTTTTAAGAACTGAGATTTAAATGATTCACAAATCCAAAGCTACTCCCTGGCCTTCCACCCTTTTATTCTCCTGCCAAAAGAACCCAGAGTGCTTTCATTTCTCTATGAACATGCTATTTTTTTTACAAAAATTTTTCCCTCAACCATGATACTATGTCAAATACCACCCAGAGCCTATGTTAGAAATTATGAGATTTTTTTTCTCTAAAATTCAAGGTACATATTGCTATTCATTCCTATACAGACAGACTGTTACTTTGAAACTGTAAATGTACAGGAGTCTTAAATATCCAATATCATCAATTTTATTTTCTTATATTTGTTTTGAACTCTCAAAATATCCCAGAGTATCATGGTATAGCTTGCTGTGAAGTCTTAAATCATTTGTTTCAAACCACTCCCAATAACCTGAAAGAACAGAAAGTATTTATCTGATTTTATACTTTAAGTGAAATGGAACCCAAAGAGGCTTGGTGACTTGCTGGAAGTCACACAGCTATTTATTGACTTTTTGAAACTAGAACAGAATATCTATTTCAGGGTTCTCTGCCTACCAAATGGAAACCATGTTATTTGCTTCCCAGCACTTCCTAGTCAGCATGGATCAACACCTGAGTTTAGGAGTTTTAAGTTTTAATTCATTTTAAGGTTGTAGGATCATTCGGACAAAAACATCTTTTGTTTGTTGGGTTTTTGTTTCTTTTGCAGGGGGGTGGGGGCATTAACTTAAAAACAATTAATAGGATATTAATAATAGAACACATATGAGAAATAAAGAACTCTTAAAATGTACAATTTAAACCTCACAGGGAAGGCCAAAGGTTTAAATAAAGTCACAGATGAAGGGCTGAGAGATTAGAAAAGCAGTCAGGAATGTAGGGTGTATTCACTAACTTCTGAGGTGACGTCACAAATGCAACCACACCCTTTATGAGACTGCTTGGACCAATGGTTTGATCCAGTCTTGTTTCTTAGATTTCCAAGCTCTGAATTAGGAATACTCCGGGGAGGGGTATGGGGCGGGGGTGGGGGGGACACAGAAAATCTGTTACCAATTCTCCACCTACACAGATGATACTAAGAAAAAATTTGCCAGAGAAGCCACACAAAATCCAAGCAACAGTGGTGAGGGTCCATGTTGGAAGGAAATCAACCTCCCCCCTAGAATACCTGTGAACACAGGTGTTAATACTTAAAGTCTGAATGTTTGGACCTGCTCGGCCGGGGGGAAAAGACGACATTGGAGGGTACACGATAACATTCTTAAAACTTAAAGAGTTAACTTAATTATGAGAGAAGGAGACTCCATTTCCTTGGCACCAAAAAGAGGCAGCAGAGGTGGAAGTGACAGGAATAGATGTGGGCTGGATCACAAAGAGGCCTTTCTGATAGCAGCAGGTGTCCAGCGATGGAGCAGTGAAGGCTTCCGCTCACAGGAGAGCCAAAGCCGTGAGCCTCTGTGGTTGTGCCGTAAGAGGGATTCTCAAATTGGATGGGACATTGGGACTTAATGACCTTTAGGTTCCTTCCAACTTTAAGATCATTCTATGATTTCACCCATTTTTAATGGGCTTTTTGTGACTCACACTTAAGTCTGAGCAAAGATCAGACTGTTCCCAAACACTTCCATGAGCTATGGCTGGACACAAAGAGGTCATGGATAAAAGAGACAATTATCTGGGCAACTCTGGCAAAGCAAGTCAGCCAACCAACATACACACCTAGGTCTCAAACACCAAGCTACACCCCAAGAGGCTACAAAAAAAATATGATCTCTGGGGTGCCTGGGTGGCTCAGTCGTTAGGCGTCTGCCTTCGGCTCAGGTCATGATCCCAGGGTCCTGGGATCGAGTCCCGCATCGGGCTCCCTGCTCAGCAGGGAGCCTGCTTCTTCCTCTGCCTGCCGCGCCTCCCTGCTTGTGCTTTCTTTCTCTGACAAATAAAATCTTAAAAAAAAAAAAAATGATCTCAACTGTCAGTAGATTCCTGGATCATCTGTCCTCTCTGGGTTTAATTTGGAGGATGAGCATTTGGCTTCACAGACAAACTTATTTTCATACTTTTACTCTGTCCAGCCTACAGGGGCAGCTTTAATTGAGGGGCCTCCAACTGTTTCCATGGAAACAACAATCATTTGCGGGCCTAGCTGGCCTGCAGATTCTACCTTTTAATCCTAAATTCTGGCAAAAGGCAGGGCTCGAGACAGATACTGAGTGCTGGGGGGAAATAATATTCTGCAAAGCACAAAAAAGACTACTGAGAACTTTATTTGTAATGGATTCAGAATGTACCCAGGTCGTTATCAAATCTTCAGACCCCAAGTTTTTCCTTTTCCTTGGGATTAGGATTACTTACCTAGATGGACATGAGCAAAAGACTGCACTCCTTCACCTGCACCATGTTTCCCAAGAGCCCCTGCAAACAGTCTTACTGCTTCCGACTACACAGAGCGATTACAGAGGAGCTGAACATAATCCTGGCAGCAGAGATTCCAGATTACAAAAATGACGGGGAGCCGACAGCTCAGCCTTCTGTCGTCTTAGAGATGGGATCTTCTCACTGGACTTTTTAATTTTGTTAAGCTCAAAGTGACAAATGAGTAAGAGGTGCTAGAACATGCCTGCTGAAGAATAATTATCATTAAAGCTTGTAGCTGACAAGAAGCCGGAAGAAAAAAAAAAAAAGCTCTAAGATTACAGTTAAGTCGGCCAAGGCATTTAAAATAGATGTTCCGGGGGCGCCTGGGTGGCTCAGTCGGTTAAGCGACTGCCTTCGGCTCAGGTCATGATCCTGGAGTCCTGGGATCGAGTCCCGCATCGGGCTCCCTGCTCAGCAGGGAGTCTGCTTCTCCCTCTGACCCTCCCCCCTCTCATGCTCTCTGTCTCTCATTCTCTCTCTCTCAAATAAATAAATAAAATCTTTAAAAAAATAATAAAATAAAAAAATAAAATAAAATAGATGTTCCGATCCGTGGTAAATCCCCAGGAATGCACAAGACCACCAGCAGACACCTAGTCTTCTGGGAACCTGTGGGCACCACCTTCTTCTTTGGGGAAGAGCACTTTCCCCTTCTTGTTAAGGATTCCTGCTCCCCCAAATGCACTCCATGTGCCCCTCGGAGCTGCCAATTCTCACATGACCCCCTGCCCTTGTGACCATTGAGAAGTCTGAACCGCCTTCCTCAGACGCCAGGATGCAGAACAGGTATCTCCCTCTTGTGGCTGAAGTTATAAAAAGGCCCAAACCTGCAGCCACATGCAGTATGTTTTTCACCATGTGGAGAAAGTCAACCCGCAGTGAGAACTAGCAAGCTGGGCTTAGGAAGAAACAAATAAGGGCAGGGAGGGAAAATCCTGTCGGCATTATAATCCCTGACCTGATGAGGACTTCTGCGAAGCACTCCAAAATCCTTAGAATACACTGCCCTTGATCACGCAAGGGGGTTCTATTTGGGTCTGTGTTTGTATCTGAGGAATCCTGCACAACCTGACAACAGCTCTGAATAAACTAGGCCTTTAGTGCTGCTCGTGGGCAAATACACAGGTTCATAACATACACACATGACCAACACTGGAAATTCACACTTTATGCTGGAAAAAAAGTTCTGGGGGTGCAATGGGGAGCAGAAAAGGAGCAGAGGTGAGTGTTGGACTTAATATGGTCCCTATACTCAGCTGGCTGATACTTCCAGTCAATGGAGCAATTAAGCCAGTGTAAACAGTCTTCCTTCTTGTTGACTCGCTATCACCTCAGCATCGTTAATGAAATGAGTTCTGGATGGAAGGGGCTTTGTCTCCGTCACTGACAAATCATACATGATTTAAACTCCAATTCTCCACGTAAACGTGAATGTTCAGTCTTGGGCTTAAATATCAACTTTTTAGAACTCAAACTTTTTGGAAAAAAAAAAAGAAAGAAAGAAATACAAAATGTCATTTGCCTACCCTCCCTTGTACCCGGAACCGCTGCTTCTGTGGGAAGCACACACACACACAGCCTGCTATTTGCAGCCCGTGAGTATGTGCTTGTACTTCTCCTACAAGGATCCTGCAGGCAGAGCCCTGGAAGCTCAAACCCATCGAGGGTACTGGACTTTGTGCATAATGTCAGAAAATATCATCCTATGAAGCTGAATCTAACTGGAACGAAGATAAATGGATGAAACGCAGGACAATTAGCCACATGTACTTCTTCCTTTCCCCATCTGCTTGGGTTGACATGAAGATGGGGAGAAGGAGAAAGAGTAGGAATGGGAAAGCCAGAGACCAAGATGGCAGGTCACAAGAAAAATATATATTCAAGTTCTACAGGCTCAAG